TTTGTAATTTATGAGAAAATAGCAGTGTAGATGGATAAAGTTAAGAGTGTGTGCAATGCCATTTTTGTGCAATTCTGGGATGTTTTTTTAAGTAAAAATTAGTCGACATGTAAATGCTTTATGTGTATGTGCTATTCTGAAAAATGCGCAAGGAGTTTGCGATTGGGCACTTTTTTCCAATTTTGCAGTTAATATTTGCCATGATTAAGCAGTTTTGTTACATAAAATTTCTAGCATAAGTGTAATTCGGCTAGTAGATTGTTGGAAAAAGTGTTGAGTAAATAAAAAGAAAAGAAACGTGTTTACTTCGTGAAGACAAAATGGCGGCGAAAAAAAAAAATAGAGGGTTGCTGTAGCAGAGTTGGTCGCCAAATTTTTGCCAAAAAATCGCCAAGTTACCATAATCCAAAGATCAACCCAAAAGGGTTTTTAAAATTTTTAGCTGTAAATTACAATATCAAAGATTAGTAATGTATCAACACATGGTGAAACTTAATATTTCAGCTTCTCATGATTATCCTTTTGTTTTTAAACAGCTTGAAGAATATTGTTTCCACGATGTGAATTTCATCATATGAGACAGCGATTCGTTGTGCGAGAGAAATATACGTTTTTAACTATAGTTTATTCTTATAACTTAAATGATGTATTTCAGTATTTTCTTGTCTAATATCATAACTCAAGACTAAATTATACCAGTAGTAAATAGATTACTGTGCCATTATTTTGAAACTTTATTTTTGTTATGAAAAATTTCAGAGTAACACTATGTTCCTGTAAAATTCAATGGTGATAGTAAGAATGCTGAAGATAGATACAGCAAAAACTATGAAGTACTAAGGAAGGAATATAAAATTTTGTTTCAAATTATTATGGCATGAAACAATTTTACACTGATGACATACTGTCCCATTCAAATGTTTTGCTGTGAGTCAAATTATTTCAGAATGATTAAAATACATAGGTCATCCATTCTCAGTCAAGAAGATATATCACATTATAATGCTTTATTAATATATGCAACATATGACTCATTGAGGATGTTAGATACAGAGGTTCATGCTGTTATGAATGACAGTTATAGTAAGTGTTAGAATTTTGGAGTAGCTTAGAATCATCTCAGTCCAAAAAAGCATGCCTGCAGTAGCCTCACTTTGCTTATTATTCTGTAATTCTGGTGAAGTAATTAATAAATTTCTTCAAGGATTGTAAAGATTTTAAGCATCTGTTTGCAGTATTTGAATGTGTACTTGCAACAGTGACAAGGGAACATAATTGCTTGCATATGATATTGCTTATCATGATACTGGTTCAGTGACTTATCTAGTTTGGTTGTTTTCTTAACAAGTTTTTGGCCTTAGCAAAACTGTATTTCATCACCCTGTTTATTTACTAGATTTATCTTTCCCAAATTGTATTCTGTTTTCTGAACTGAAACTGGAAAAGACTGGTTTTGGTGATGTTAAGAAAATTCTGATAATCTGAACAAAGTTTCTCAGTGTTATTTGCAAAGAAGGAGTACTAAAAGTGCTTTAAAATTTTATTTATTTATTTGTTAGAAATTTCTTGTTATAATATGTGTGAAGAATCATATGCAAGAATGTTTCTACATTCTTGAGTTGCAGATTAAAATTTTGATTATAATAGCTGCTAAAACTTGATATTTTTTTAATCATCTAATGAATCTCATTTTTTGACAGAAATGTTATTTTAATAAAATCCAGGAATTATATAAGCCATTTCGTTTAGCAGTTTAATCATATACTAATTGAACCCATGCAAATAGTTCACATTGGAAATACTTCAGTCTTTGGTTCAGTATATTTAATACTGAATGAATACATATTATCTTAGTCACTTTATTCAAAGTCACCAAATTTTCCAGGTGCATCAAATCCTGGCAACTATGAACATAAATAGTTCTTCAGTTTAAAGCAAATAACGTACCTTTTTTTCATGTATTCTTTTTATTTTATTCCAAGTTCTGTTTTTATGGATCAATAACGATATTTTCCCCTAAAACTCTCTTTTGAAATATGCACTTCTGGGATTTACCTGCAGTGGAAAAACTGCAGCACAGTTTGTGCAGGGATACAATGTTTTAAATATTTTACCACAAAAGTGTAAAAGGATTTTTTTTTTTTTTTTTTTTTTTCATCTCAAAAAATTGCTGAACTGTATTAAGCTGGTTATAGTAATACATAAGTACACATCTATTCTATTTTATATATTATTATATTAAATTCCTATTTTAGTAATATTGAATGGAACAATAAAAGTAGTGTTTCAGAATTATGAAATTTTGTGGCCTAGGATTTGCGAGTTTAAAAAAATTGAAGTTTCTGAAATTCAAACCAACAATAGAACTGTCAGTATAGTCTGGACAATATAATATTATACCTAAAAGTATGCAAGAGAATTATTCAAGAGAAGAAATAAAATGATTCAGAGATCAAATCCATATCTTTTTTATTTCTTTGTTTTGTATCCTAATGCTACAGAGAGGCTGGGCCATTTAAAAGTTGAATTAATCCATTCTATAATAAATCAGTTGTATTTTGTCTCTAACAAGAGTAAGACTTCCTCTTGTTAGAGACAAAATACAACTGATTTATTCTGTAGGCTTTTATTTTTCATGCTAAACTTCAGTATACATTGTATCTATTGAAGTCCTTGTATGGCCTTATTTTCACAACATATAGTACTTGCGAAAGGAAAAATACTTTGAATAAGGAAATTTCTCATGTTATGGCATTTTAAAATTAAAAAATAAATTTTGGAAAAATTATGAAAGCCAACTTCTTATATGCCATGCTTCTTCCTGTCCGTGTAATTATCCTTATTCTCGAAAAAATAACTAAAACTTCTACAAAAGTTTGATTCCCATACAATAAAAAATGACTAACATATTGAAGTTGGAGGTCATCGTGACAGGTTATACACAACTGAAGAGCAAAATGCTTGTATGTAATTAAAAACATAATATCAGTTTAGAATATGTTGCTGATGTTAAAAGGTTAAGTTGTGAAGACTGCCACCTTGTGTAGCCTTATAAAGAGTATTGCTCAATATTTTTTTTTTTTTTTTTAACCAAAAAGGTCTTATTCATTGAATTTTACAGAATTTGTGTTCCAGAAAGCAGTGGTCAAACTTCAGTATTGATATATGATCAACTTGTATCATTATTTGCTCATAAATTGCTTCAATAAAAGTTTTTTAACAAAATCATAACTTAAAAATATAACATACTAATAAAACACAAAACAAAAACAAAAAATCACTGAACAAAGTTAAAAATTGAAAAAAATAAGTACTTTCCCTTAAAGCCATATGAAGCATTTTCAGCATCATATTAATGCATGTTGGATTGTTTTTCTATACACATTTAGATAGATACAATAAATCTTTACTGAATGCCAGAGTTAACATCATTAATATATTGTGTGTACAGCAAAATCACTTTCTGCAAACTTTCTATGGAAAAAAAAAAAAGCGAGTTAGGTATAATTTAGATTAAGAAAGTATGTATAATTTATACAAACTTAAATGTTATTGTAATTAGAAGGGAAAAAGGAAACAAATGTTAATTGAAAGGATTTCTGTTGCTACTTAATTTTATGTAGGTACTTTTAAATGATTTAAATAGCTGGTAACTTTTGCTTGGGACAATGTCTGATGGAACTCTTTAACCATTTCTTAGGCATGCAAAGTTTTTCAATGTCACTCATAAAAAAATTTCTTCTTTCTTCATTTGGATCAATCTGCATTATAAAAGTTACATTCCTGTGCCTTTTTTAACAATTTATTTAACATGTATGTTAAAGGCTCTTCTTCACTATCACTGCTTTCATCATGTGATAATGTTACAAGATTATCCAGTTCTTCATTTGTCGTTTTATGTGTGTCATTTTTGACTGATTCTTTAATTTCCTCTTCCTACATGTCTCAAAATTCTTCTGTTCCTATTTCTTTTGCAATATGTGTGATTTCCATGGCTTCATTTTCAATTTAATAAACCCTTTAAAATTTTAGATAATTTCTGACTGGAAGTGCTGCCAACAAGCATTCATTTTTGATGAATTTACTTGTTCCTATGTGAGTTTAATCATTTTTGTGCAGTGTCTTATGTTTAATTGCTTCCAAAATAAGTGTAATGTGCTTTCCTTCATCTAGTGCTTTATTTTCAAGATTTAAACCTGCCTGACATAAAAGACTTTGATTATTTTTATGATTTCTTGATCCATTGGTTAGTGGTGTTCAGTTTAAAACCTCTACATTTAGATGCATTGTTGTGAGGGCTTCAGCACAATATCCTGGAGCAGTATTGAAAATTAGAAGAAATTTTAAACTCGAGTTTTGCTGTTTTAAACAATGTTTCACTCCTGTAATGAATGAATTCTCAAACCAGTCATTAAAAAGAATTATTGGAATATGGGCAGTTTTTGGCAGCATACAACATGTAATTGAAATTCTCACATTGAAGAAATTAAATGGAGACAATTAAGATAACTCATATACACAAAATCACGTGTTCAGCGAGGGTTTAATTTACTAAACTCCCCATCACAATCACTGATCTTTTTCATTTGTGACTGTACTGTTGAACTGTTAAACTTCATCAGTAACATTACTGAATTTGCACATTTAAAGATCTGAGAATTAGTTGTTATATTTTCATATTATTTTTTCCCAAAGTCAACAGAAGAATGTTCCTATACATATGTATATATTACAAGATAGATACTTAAAAAATAAAACAAATTTTATTGTATGCTCAATGAAATGTTAGTTTTTGATATTTAAATAGAATTTATTTAATGATTTTGATGTTTTAATTTATATTTCATCAGGATAACTGTAATATCCAAATATTTTATTCATATGGAATGACAATTCTATATTCAGTTTTTGCTAGTTTTTGAGAAGCATTGCTTAAAATAAAATTTTAAATTATGAGAGAGAAAATATTTCGTCTAAAATCATTTTTATGCCCATTATAGGATGGTAAATGAAATACTGAAAGAAGAAATGAAAAATATTCATGCATTCACCCAGAAAACTTTAACACCTGAACAATGGGAGAAACAAAATCAAGCTAATTAATAACGACTAGGCTCTTATTTAGAATATGAATTTAGTATAAATATATTTTCATTATAATAAATGTGCATTTCTGTTGTGACTGAAATTCAATTATTTATGTCTTTTATTTTTTAATCTAATATCATATCTGCCAACTTTTAGAAGTTGCCACAAATTATGCCAAATCTGCTTGTTCTCCTTATTACATGAAAAAAAAAAAGTACATACATTGTTTTTAGAATATGAATTTTGTTTAATGTCTCTGAGTTTCATGCTTTATCAACATTTGGTGATTTTGGAATACATTTATCTAAAAAAGTATTGATTCTGAGGTTTCTGAATTTCATTGCTGTTTTTAATAAATATAAAAATATTATGATGTCATTAAAACAATAATACTTAAAAAAATTTTTGTTTAAAAAAACTGACATTAAAATAAAACAGGTTTTTAAATTATTTTTGTTACATTTTCAAATAATTTTTACTTTTCATTTTGGCAACATTTTTCTGAACCTTAAAAAACATGATAAATGTTATGAAATGCAGTTTCCAAATTATATTTCAATGAAGCAAAAAAGCTATTTTAAACACTTATTTTAATAATATCATTTGTGTAATTTTGTCCCGTGTGGTGTAGGTTTCTCTGTAAAATTAAACTTTTTAGCCGAGAAGGGCTATTAATTTCATTTTGTGTCGAATTACTATAAACGTGTGTCACTTTTCAAACTGTTGCCATCTAATGTTAGAGAGTTGCATTATATTTAAAGAAATTAAACACTGAAGAATCTGCATGAATGTATGTATGTTTCTTGCATTGTGAGAAAACAACAATACCTAGAGCCATCAAATTTTGAATAACGTAGTCCTCCACTCAAATACAGCCATCTGGAAACCCAAATTTAGAATTTGTTTTATTATCTATTTCAGATCTTGTAAATCTTTAATGAATTTTTGATAACAAACTCAACAATTTCAAAGCAAGCAAAAGCAACGTTGTATAGACTCCAGCATGCGAGACCGTGTATCGGAAATTTCTAAAGAATGCTTTTTAAAAATATTTTGTGATATTGCTGTTGAATTTTATGGTTTAAGTGCAAAGAACTCGATATTTAATAAATAAAGGTAACACACAAAACATTTAAAAAAGCCACTTTGGGTGTAATATAAAATCTGAATTTTTTTTTTTTTCCTTCTTTTCAAAAATCTTGATTTTTTGCTCTTACGAACTTGACAGGTATGTAGTATTCTAATTTATTATTTTTGGTGAGTCTGTATAATGCTAATATTATTTATTTTTACTGGGGGGGGGAAAGAGAAAATTACTTTTATGTGAGTCTTTTTGCCACATAGATGCAGGTTTATAGGTTTCACACAAATACAGGAAAATATATTCCTGTATTTAATTTGCATTTTATTAAATTTTTAATATAAAGGTTACATAATTACACTTTTTCTTTAACATATTATACTACACATTTTAAGTGTTTGTGTATTATATACATTTACAACTAAAATATAAAATGTGCAATATATAATTGTGGCTCATGAAATTTTTTTTAATTCTAATTTCTTCGCATCAAGTTAAAGGTTGGACTCCACTGAGTAGATATTATCATGAACTTGAAAAACTGAAAGAATGATGTAGAACTTCAGTTTGATTGATAAAAAGGTATTTTTTAAATCCATGTTTAATGCATGTACTTCTAAAGACACAGAAAAATTCTGGTGGATAAAAAAGTGTAAAATGTGAGGTAATAAATAAAGCTCTAATTTATATAAACATGTTAAAACAATTAGATCATGTAACTGGGCATTATTAAACAAAATTTGTAATGACAAGATCTCTGTGATATTTCTTTGCTATACATGTAAGATTTGCTATTTTAAAATATTATTTCTCTACAGTTTCAGAAAATTAAGCATAAATTTCTTTAAATCATCTTTCAATACTATTTACTACTTATCTGTATAATTAATTCATAATTTTATTTTAAATTATTAATAAACAGGTTTACTGTATTTACATTTCAGTATTTTTTCCCCACAAACCCAAATATCTTGAATAAGTCCATTATGCAAATAAACAACCACTGCAACTAACAATCATCTTTCTTAAGAGAAGCACCTTAACGGAACACCCTAAATCATCTGGAACTGTAGATGGTTATCTTAAAAAGAATTCACTCTACATTTAATTCGAATTCAATATAAAAGTATGGACTAATTTCAAAAATTGAAACTCTGAATTGTAGTTATCTCAGCCGACACAAAAAATTTCTTCTATAACACACCATCTATTCATGCTAAATATAGTGGGAAGACATTTTACTGAATGGCTCTGCTGCTGCTGCCCTTAAAACACTTATTATTATTACTATCCCAAAGGGGCAATTTGCCCAGAAGGGCTATTAATTTCGTTTTGGCATTTTGCATTGTTTCAGTGTAAATGGTGTTTCACTTTTCAAAATTTTCCATCAAATATTGGAGCCCTGCATCATATTTAAAGAAATTAAATAATGAAGAATCTGCATGAACATATATATCTTTCTTGCACTGTGAAAAAACAATGGTACTTAAGAGACATCAAATTCTGAATAACATAGTCCACTCAAATATGAGCATCTGGAAACCCAAATTTGGAATTTGTTTTATTATCTATTTCAGATTTTATAAAACTTTAATGAATTTTTAACAAAACTCGATGATTTCAAAGCAAACAATAGCAACACTGTACAAAAAACAACATTTTTATCTCCAGTATACAAGACTGTGTATCGAAAATTCTAAAGTTATGCTCTTTTCAAATTATTTTGTGATATTGCTGTTGAGTTTTATGGAAGTACGAAGAACATATTTAATAAGTAAAGGTAACACACAAAATGTTTAAAAAAAATGCCTTTTTTGGACGTAATATAAAATCTAAAGGCTTTCAGATTTAAAAAAAAAAAAAATATTTTGCTTGCAGAGCAGACATTCTGTTCTACAGTGAGTGTCTGTAAATTTCATATCTGAGTATATTTCTTTAATAATGCAGGTTCTTTTATCAGTTTTAACCTATAATAGTCTTCTAACTGTAAAATCTCTTATAAGGATACATTAGCATTTCATGTCATACTCCTATCTTAAGAACAGACACTTCATCGTTCGTGTAAACAACTCACTCTCTACTCCACGGGCTATCAAGGCTGGCATCCCGCAAGGGAGTCTCCTTGAGCTCATCTACTATAATATCTATATGAACGATATCCCACAATCATTACACACCACCCTGACTATGTATTCAAAATAGAGAAATAAATCTTTCATAGTCAATAGCAGTAAAGTTGAGTTTGCATTAGTTTCCTATTTTCCCGCATAACATGAAAGTTATGTGGAAATACTTTCAATACTTACTAGTTGATTTATCTAAATTAAGTTTTTTTAACCCTTAGAATGTCAAGGCTCACATGTTTACTTAAAAAAAAAAAAAAAAAAAAAAAAAGTCCAAAATTCCATTTCAGACTCGCACTTCTTCCTCTATTTATGAACAATGAGACATGAAAGTTTCTCAAATGATATCTTCTCTAGTTAATAATAAAGGAACTTCTACTAGCATGTGTGTATACTAAGTCATCTTTAACCTAAAGATAAGGAAGGAACTATAAAAGAATCCCTTTTATATACAATACTTTTGGGAAAACTGCACTTAAGGCTATTGTGTACTTTAAGGGAAGGGTAGAAACAGAGCATGCCATGTCAGTCATTTGAATGAAAGGACCTCAAGCAATTTGAATTAGGTGGAGTTGTACATATAAAAAAAAAAAAATTCAGTGCCATACGAACACATTTTATTCCTGACACAGCTTTCTAGAAGTATGTACTATTGTTAGCAAGTCACCCTTGATATAAGCATATAAAAAGTAAAATAAAAACAAAACTTTCTGAAAATGTCTGATATCACAGTCATCATTACACCTATTCAAGTAATCAGAGATGCATTAATGGATTTTAAAAACATGTCACAATAAAAATTTAAAAAATGATATTCAAATTTATTTTTATCCTATATTTTTTTTTCATTGAAAACTCAATGTAATTTTATTAATTGTAGAAGTATAAAGATTATAATGCTATGTTAATAAATATAAATTTGCATATGCCAAACTTCGCATCTCATAGTTCAGCTCATATGGTTTAGAAGCTTTGAAAAGGCAGATATTATTCTTAAAAATTCCAATTTTTACAAAATGTTAATTTTGTTAATAATGTTAAATTGAGGAAATATATTTAATTTTTGTTGCTTCAGTAAATGAAATGTTAAAAACAATAAATATTTTTATTATTTTCAGATACAAAATATTTCTGAGTAAACAGCAATGTAATATCATTGTAAATATAGGTAAAATACATTTGTTTAACAGTTCAATAGCCATTTTTAAATTTTTCTAAAAAGTTTAAGCTTTCTATATTAAAATCACATAAGAAAAATTCATAAATGATAATATTTGTTTTTAACTTGCATAAAAAATATTAAAAGTTCAAGATATGAAAGGTTATACTTCTAAATTTTGGCACAAGCTTTTTTGGAATGATGTTAAAAAACAATGCGATGATTCAGTTAAAGAGGTAATGCAAAATTTTTCAACATATGTAAATGATTTTCAACAAATGTAAACTAAAACCTAAAGCTGCATATTTTCAAAATATTAATATAATATAAGAAATGCAATATATTTCAGCTTAAAAACTGGAAGCCAATGGAATGTATCAACACTGTAGAATTAGATATTTACAGTCTAACTCGCCCAAAAATTCCAGAACTATTTCTAGATGGTTCTAAGGGGGTGTCAAAAGTCATTAGATTTTCTTCAGCATCCTGAGGCACCGGAGGTGGGGGTTCAAGATTATGCAATTTCCTGTATGCTTCCCACCGAGCATCATCCGATTGATGAGTCAAATACCTTTGCCCAACTTCTGATTCTAATCTTCGGAGATCACACCATGTCTGATAGTCCTTCAAAGAATTAAAAAATTATATATACATAATTTTTCAGAGATTTAAAGAAAATTTTCTGATGTTCCCATATGAGAAGATTTATAAAAGAATTATTCAAAGTAATTACTGTCCAGATTTTATATAATTCAGTTTAGTTACTATATTTTTTAAATAATTCAGCACATTGAAATATATAAGCGCAAAAATAATTTTGTGCATTTCATCTCCCCCCAAATTTCTTGATGAGGGAACACAAACATTAAAAAATAATAAAATATAGAATCAATCAATTATTCGATAAACTCAAGATCAAATTTTTAATATGCAATACAGATTAACTCATCAGTGAAGATACATAGGCACACACAAAGATGACTTTTCCTAAGATGACCAAGTAGTTCTTCATACTATTGTACTGTACACTTGCCTATTTTGTTCAAATAGCGACTGTTTTTGTCTTGCTAATTGATTTGTTTATGAATTTTGAATGCATGACATTTGAATGATAAAGCAAAAATAGTGAAAGAGTGTCAAGAAAATGGGGATATCTAATGCTCATGATAGCTCTATACTTTGATTTATGAATAGTGATTAGACAAGAATTTTTGTTTGAACATATCATTGCAGATAAAATAATGACATAACTAGCAAACTACAGATTCTTTGAAGAGCTTGTAAGCAAAAAAATTAAACAATAAAAGGGCTATTGCCAATTATGTTAGTAATTTTCTTTCATATAACTTTTATATTTATGCAAAAAACAGTTCAAAACCTAATCCGATTGTGTGCTACAAGCAACAACAAGTGGTGGTAACAATGCAAAATTACATTAAGATAAATTAAAAATGTTAAAAATCCATCTCATATTCAGTTGGGAACAAACCATATGCACAAAAAAAAAAAAAAAAAAAAAAAAAGAGGCAAACTGCATGATAAGTGCAAAAAATACCAAAAATGAAAAGGAAAATAATGTAAAGATGTAAATTTTCCCCCCCCCTTTTCATTTAGATTCCTTTCATAATGAAAGTCCTTTCATGAAGGTGCTAAAAGAGAAAGAAGGAATAGAAGACCCTTGAATCCGCTGCCTACCTATTCTCCATGAAAACTGGGAAGGACATGGACAAAAGATGAACTGTCATCTATAAGCAACAACAATATGTTTTAGTGAAGTAACATATTTTTGAAATTTTAATGTCTTTCTGTGAAGTAAATTCTACAAAGAAAATTGCCAGTAACTTTCAGTAAAGTCACAAAGGAATTGGTAAAATGCAATACAAGTATTGAAAACATTTGTCAAAATTATGATTTAAATAATTTTCAAATGAAGTAAAAACAGGTTGGTTCTCCCATAAAAACTAAGAAATTATAATGAATATATTTAACCCGGAAATATTTGATTGTGCAATCTTTTAAAAACACACTTCACATGTTTAATATTTTGTATATGAAAATTAAATCGCTCTAATGAATCATCTTTAATAAGACTATAAAAATTAAATTTAATTTGAAATCTGAAATCACAAAGTATCCAATCAAGGCATTTAAAATTATGCCTTTCCACATGTGAAAATAACAGCAAATTTTTATGTATGTGATTCTTCAAAAATAAATATGTTAAAAACACAAATATTAATTTTGAAAAAATCTGTACAAATTTTACTAGAAGTTCATATTTTAAAATGTAAGTAAAACTAATCATACATATAAAACAAGAATGCTTTATAATGGTTCCCCATCATAAAGATCTTATAAATTTATGTCAAGACAGAAATCTTCAGAAGATGTGGTGGTGATGGTGGTAGTAAATTTCCTGGCACAAAGCCTTAAAAGGCCATATGTGCCAAACACATGAAATTTCAGAAGAATGTGCTAACAAAATAACATCTACACCCTTATTAACATCAATTTTGAACTTCAAGAAAGCTTCGTGAAGATTGAGCATCAGTATGATAAAACATTGCTACACATTTCAGTTTGCTATTCTCGTTAGAAAAAAAAAAAAAAGCTTAAACAGTATAGGCATAAAGGTGCCCACACTCTTACGAAGGTTACCTTCTTTAAATTTAGAAGTGATCTTTCCATAACAGTGCAGGTTGGGGTGGGCTAGACTTTTTTAAAATTATTATTATTTTTCTACCACTATACCCCAGATAAGATGTCTATCGACTAGCTATACAAAATTTTAAAAAAAAGGAAATTTCAGATAAAAATTTATCTTCTGTAGGCACACCACATTCTAAACTTTTGAAAAATAGCAAAATTTTGATTTTTTCTTCAATTTTTGACATTTACTAAACACACTACTATCAAAATGCAGTTGTTCCTAATGGGACGTGTAAAGCATGTGAAACACAAAAAAAGTTGTCATTTTGTCAAAAAATCATTTTGTCTTCATGCCTTCATGTTATAGCAGTAGAAAAATTTTTCTTAATTTTTTTCGGCCCACCTTAATGCAGGTACAATTAAACTGAAGCACACTCGTGACGAATAGACCAATTTGCACAAAAGTGAAAGTACCTTTACATATTGGGATACTGTTATGAAGGCTTCTAAAGTATTCCCAATTCTTTATTTACTGACACATAAGGGGGGGGGAATTGACAATATTTACTAACATCTGCATCATTTTGAATTTGCCCAAGCAGGTGGTGAGAAATTTTTAGCAATTTTTATGCATTTTATTGACTACAAAATTTCTTAAACTTTCAGTTTCAATATGGCATTTACTCAGTTTTTGCTATATACAATACCTACATAATAAATTATAATTTTTCTTAAGACTTACTTGTAGCCATGAATGTGATAAAGATTTGTCAACTGTAAATCTCTTCCTAGTCTTTACTTGTAAGAGATTGCTAATCAAATCAATAGCTGTATAAAAAATGAAAATTTAAATTCCACATCAAATGGCAATATGAATATTCTATTAAAAATATTATTATTTCATGCATATTTTTAAAATGTTATTTGAACATCTTTTTTGATTTAAAATTATTTTTAAGATCTAATTTAAAAGTATCTGTTTACACTGCAATTACACAATGGTCATCAAAATTAAAGTATAATGAGAAAACATATGCTCACTAATGTTAAAACCAATGTCCAATGCTGTAATTGCTTATGTTAATTAAATGCAACTGCACGCAAAATTGCATGTGCCTATACACATTAGTGCTAGAAATATGCAAATTCGGTGACTGACAATGTGGTGCACAGTGGATGAATGTTGGAATTCCAATCTGCAGTGTTATTTGAAGAGTGATCAGTATTCAGTAGAACAGAGGGACGGCAAACGCAAATGGATGCTGCCACAGATTTGAATATCCTTCAAGGTGTTATATTAAGAGTTTAGAGCCACGTTTTAAACACTGGATCGGTTGATAAAACAGCCTGGTCTAGGACGATTAAGAGCAACAACTGCATCAGAAAACTGTTTTCTGTCATTGTTGGCTTGAAGAAACCGTGAAGCGACTACAAGAGAATTCATTTTAGACCATCAGGCTCCCACAGGAACTGAATTAGCCATTCTACTGCTGCATGAGGGCTTAATGAAATTGGACTGTATGCGAGAAAAACTGATGTTTTGTGTCCCACTCACTCGAGCTTCCAAAGGGGCCTGTTTAAATTGCCATCATCATGTTTACTGCAGTCAAGAGGACTAGGTCCGAGTATTGTTTACTGACAAGTCCAGATGTAGCCCGAAATGTTATTCTAGACATGTTTTGATCAGGAAAGAGGAATGGAACTTGTCTTCCCTTGTCCATGAAATATCCCATTTCCACGACCGTGGTTTAATGATTTGGGGAGGAATCATAACAAATGTACACTCCGAGCAGCGTATCTTACAAGGAAGTTCTGTAACCACTCAGAGATATATGGATGAGGTATTGGAACCCCAAGTTACACTGTTTAGGGTTACTGTTGGCCTACAGTTTTTGCTAATGGATGACAATGTTCGGCTTTATCCACCATTTGTGGTGTCAGAATACTTGCAAACAAAAGATATCACTCAAATGGATTGGCCACTTTACTCACCCGACATGAACCCAAATGAGCAAGTTTAGGATGTCTTAGGGAACCGAATTTCAGTGCATCAAATTCCTGCCCGGACCCTCCAGAAGATAAACAAGCCACTTTTAGAAGAGTGGTGTGCAATTCCACAAGACTTCACCAACGCATATCTGAGGTGACCATACAACAGATTAAAGAAAAAAATTTCCGCAACAGATAACTTAATTTTTCCATAATTTTTCGTCCATAAATTTGGTTTTAATTTCAATATTTTGCAAATAATCAACTGTCAGACATTGTAATCTACATTAACTAATGCTTTTGTAAAAATTTCTTTTAATAATTTTTATAGGGTATCAGTTACATTTTATTTCTGTCACTATCCTTTAACTTTGATGACCAGTGGTATATCGGCTACTTGACCTACTCGATCTCATGTGATTTAATACCTTAATAGCTTAATTCTACATCAGAACTTTTCAGTTGAATATCAATAAAATTAACAAGAAAGTCTAAATCAATTCATTTCATTATATCCACAATAATGACATAGGAGATTCTCAGTTAAATCAAATTTCAAACAAGCTTTTTTAATTAAAACTTGTTCAACTCATCTGAATTCAAACTGGTAGCTACAGGCATTAAAATTAATAATAACTTGAGACTAGATACTCAGCACGAAAGATGAATTCTTTAACTTTTACTTTTCATTTACTAAAAATACTTCCTATTGCAGGATTAAGTTAGACAATATATGTCAAGCCTTACATATTATGATATACTATAAATAGCAAATATTATCCAAGTGATGCTGCTAATAATAATAACAACAACTTAAGAAATACATGTATACAATCAATTGAAATGTACAGCTATTGTACTTTCAAATTTTAATCAATAACATTTAACTAAATTTAAAAAAAAAAAAAAAAAAGAAAGAAATGAAAACATCATGCTCTTTTAATAGTACTGAAATACAATACCAAAAATGCATATGATATTTAAAGTATAAAAATGAGTCAACAGCAAATCTGATTATCACTATCATACCTTAAATACAGAGTTTAAAATTATGCTTCAAAAATATAAAATTATGATGAAATTCTTCCAAGAAAAAATTTGGTATTTCTATAAGAATTACTATGTCTAGAATTTAAAAAAAAAAAAAAGTTAAGATATTCAGCTAGAATTATTTATAAAATTTAAATAATAAATTTATATAGTTAATAATATTTATATAGTTATATACTTATATAGTGATAACAGATAATAATAATAAATAACAACTAGATAATAAAGCTTTAATAACTCAACAGCACATTCTTCTGATCACTGTCACAAGTACCATCATAAAACTGCACTACCTCTTAAAATTCACAATATATATATATATGTATCTTCATATACAAAATATGTAGAAAAAATATCACTATGGTTGATATAAGACATTTAATATTGCTTGTGTTAAAAACTACAAAGTCAGATCAGTATACGATAATCATTCTTAGCATTTTTTTTTTACAAGAATAAAATATATGAATCATAATATGGCTTTTACAACTAGCATAGGATAGTTTGGTATATATGTGACAAATGGCTGCAAGATGGAAATGAATCATCAATGTTTCAGCTGACTTGAAGAACATAATCAAAATTGAACATGATTTTAATTAACACAAAATCAATGGGCATTTAATTATGGGATACATGAAAAACAATTAACTATGAAACCACCTCTGGCATGACACCCAAATGTTATTAATGCCAGGATTATTGATAATTAATGTACACCATGTCATCCAAGGGTTTTCTATCAATTTGTCATTTTGATGGACTAGTAGTTTTAATGCTAGTAAAGTAAGAAAAGTTTTGTTTAGCTTATTATGGCAGAGCACACAACGGCTATCTGCCATACAAAAGGGATGCATTCTTAGGAAAACTGGATAGTACAGATGTTACACATGAAGAAAACCACAAAAATAGCTACTTGCCAGGATTCTAACTTTGGTCATGCAACCAACATTCAGCAGTTTTATCCACTTGACCACTAATGGGACTAACACACGAAAAGTAATTCCTAATATAAATAGCAATCAAAGTTAATTCATCAATAATATTTTATTATTAAAGTTGGTTAAATATATTAAATTGAAATACTAAACACATTCAATAAAGACTGTTTAAAATTATTCAGCAGAATTCAATCTGTGATAGATTGGTACCAATTTTAAATAAAAGCGATTTTGTTTTTCCAGGCAATCCGACAGGTTTTTCTCTTGTTTAAAAAAAATATGTTGATGAATTTCAAATTATAGAAATGCTTATTTTCAAAGTATCTCTGGTATTTATTTAGAGAAAAAAAAAAAAAAAAAAAAAAAAAAAAACATATATATGTTGGTGATTTTCAGATTATGGAAATGCTAATTTTTATAGGGGGGAAAGGATATATTTAGCTATATTTTACCTTCAGGTGAGATTTCTTTCCATGGATTTGGTGGGTACATAAAGGCTGCATTCTGTATCTGATCATTGATATCTTCTTCTTCATTGAATGGAAATGTTCCACTCAAACTGAAAAGAAAATAACTTTTAATGAAGAAAGTGAAAAAGATTAGATTTTGTAAACAGAATGTATGATACAATAAGAAGTACCTAATTTTAGCAGTTAATTTTGAATTTAATAATATATAGTACAAAATATGAAATGCAAAAATTCAGTATTCAGAATGATCTAATGTAAATAAGACTCTAATATAAAATAGACCACTAGCAAAAAAGAATTTTTTCAATTCTTTTTTTTTTTTTTTTTTTTTTTTTTTTTTTTTTTTTTTTTTTTTTTTTTTTTTTCTTTTTTTTTTTTTTTTTTTTTTTTTTTTTTTTTTTTTTTTTTTTTTTTTTTTTTTTTTTTTTTTTTTTTTTTTTTTTTTTCATTTTAAAAAGTATAATATAAAAGCGATTTTTCTCCTGATTCACTAAGATTCCTAAACGTCACTTTCATTTTGTGGCCAATGATAATACACTGACTGATGCTCCTAATGACCATAATTTTGAACCTTGAGTGCTTTTGCAGGAAAGTGGTATTATTTTTCTATTTGACCTAAAGTCCTAATATTCGTTTTCAGAGGGATGTTGCTCATGCTGGTTTTGATGACATAGCAGTCGGGGGAAGGAGAAAGAATAAGATTTCAAAGAACTTCAATTAACATACCAAATTGCACTCTTCCTTAATTTCCTAATATGATACAGCTTATTACTTTTTGCAAGCTAATACAGCTATCTTAAAGTGAACTTTAAATTTTTGATTTTGTGAAAAAGAGTTTTTAATTCTGGAGATCCAGTAGGATCTGCAAACAGTAAGCATATTTCAATAGTAATCAAACAATACACAATCAATAGTATTTTTTTTTAAAGAGGAACTTTTTGAATTTTTTGTGCCTTTTGACAGCCCATACACAATGAATAACATAAAAATTATTCGTATGTTAAAAGTAATGATCATGATAAAATAAAGATTGAATGGGTGAGACAGTGTTACAGAGATGGTGTACATTGACAGGTTCAATACTAAAGGCTCAAGCCAAGTTATTTAAAAAAGAAATTAACTTAAAACTGGCTGCAATATTTGAAGATAGTGATTAACTAAATTTCAAAGTTCCATGCTGTAAGGCAGTTAAAAACTTCAAGCAACAATAATACTGTAATTTGCTAATATTGAAGAAAGTGAACAATTAGCAGGTGAATTTATCAGACTCATTAACAGAGAAAAGTTATCTGCAGAACAAACTCTCAGAAAATTGGTCTTTTCTGGCAATATGTATCCCAAAACACCTTGACAACCTAAACAGCCCCAACTGGTGTTTGAAAATGATTTTATATCAAGGCTTGGCAACATTTGAAATCGGTGGCTTTTATCAGATGATGCAAAAATTGTCCTTATTATAAATAACCGACTATATTTCACATAAATTTACAAAAACAACCCAAAAACTTTATAAATAACCTAGAAAAATATAAAACAAGAACTGAACTCACCTTACATATACTATAACCCCTACAGACCACATATCCAGAGACCTATTATAACCTTTGTTCTTTAAAACCTCGGGTGCTAAAAGAAAAGTAAAAGATGATTAAAAAATATATAATAAAAACTATCCTAAAATATAAATAATATTCTTCCAAAACAAAAATGCTGTGTTATGAGGAATGATAAACATTTTGCTTGATTGATTCTAAAAGCAAAACAAAATTAACTCACTTTTATCTTAAATAACACAAACTCAAAAGTTATATAATAAATATAAAATATTTTTTTAAGCATCGAAATCATCTCTATAATCTCAGTAACAAAGAATATTAAGATATAATTTAAGACAATTTCTAAACTTGATTAATGATCATTCATTTAAATAATAATTTTGTTACAAAGCAATAATGTTAACGCCCTGATCCTGAATCATTACATGAAACAGACACATATTTTTGCTAACACTGTGACAGACATAAAACAGACTTATTTTTTAACGCTAAGTATGTTCCCTTAAAATGGAGTACAGTATATTTGAGGTAGATACTTTATATATTTTTATTTACATACTTCATATATTTCAATATTTTTATTTTGCATATTAATGTTTTCTAGTATTTACTTCTAGGTTAGTGACTTCTGACATTATACAAGTGATAAAAAAAATTTACTTAAAATTCATTTTTAGTGTGATAAATTTCAAAGGAGGGATCTACACACAGTCCTAGGTTACAATCTTTATACTTATAACAGGTCATTTGCCTAGTTGGAGAAATTTTGCAGAAGTGTAAACAAAGAAACATCACCATCACACTTTCTTAAAACTTTCATTTGAACAAAGTACTTTCCATCTATCTTTGGAAATAGTTCACTTCAGGTTTTGTTCTGCAAAACCATCATCTCAGCAATTTTCATTTTGGCCAAAAGAAAAATTTTAGTCATTACTTGCCTTTTCATTACAGATCCACAAGTATTTGCTCTAAGTCTAAAGAGTTCATTTGCCAGTGATGGAGACATGGAAAAAACTATCAATGTATAAATAATAACCTTTGTTCTTGGTAAGTTCTTCAAGCATATATTTAACAACTCTTTCTCCATATAATTCTGAAGTTTCTTTTGACTCTTTTCCTTTTCCCATTTAAACAATAAAGTTATAGATATAACTTAATTTAGATTCAGATAATTTGTTAAAACACTTTCAATGTTTTGACATTGTAAAGCTCAAAATAGAAACACTTCACATATATAAGATATAATTCTCAATTGAAAACTGGATTGCAAACCCAACTACCAAATGCTTTAAAGGGGGGGGGAGATTCTCCTATAACATTTAATAAATACCATGAGTACATTTAAAGAGCCTTCAGTGTGCAAGTCCAGAACATGCCTCTCCCTGTATGTTTATATAATCAAAATCTAAGTGCATGTGAGTCATCTTTTTCTCAATTCAAGTAGATATGTATCTCAAATTTTATGAAAATATAAATTTTTATAACATTCCAAAACTCTAAAACACGAATACGTCACGGGTGAGGCTGAATGAGAAAACGCTTTGTCACACTAACATGCCAGCTGAGAAATGAATGTGTTTCATGTTGGCAGGTCTGCATAATAGTCGGCACAAAAGGGTTAAAACAAATTACATCAAAAGAGGACAAAAATTATGCTTAGGGTGATTAAAAATGCATTTTGGATATATTACAAATTGCTTTCAATATGATTCAGATATTTTGCAGCCATCTATTTTTTTTTTTTTTTTTTTTTTTTTTTTTTTTAATTAAGCATTTTGTTACATTTATTTGGCTTAATACATGCCCCCCCCCAAAAAAAAGAGTCTGGTAATTCCGAGTAATTAAAAGAACCACCCTTCAGAAGAGGGATAAGTCTTTTTTGGACTCTATGATTTTGTGTTAATTTTTTAATAAATTGTTGTTTCATTATGATTGATTGTAAAGAAGTATGTTTTCTTCAAACTAGATAGTTTTAAGATATAGTCTTAAATATATTTAAATATTTTTTTCGAAACCCATATGCCAATTTCGTTCACTGCACAAAGAAAGGAAAATTCTGTAATAATGTTATATACTAAATTTATGTTTATAGTGGAAAATTTAACATTTTTCATGAGCAACTTCATACTGCATAATTCAAATTATTAAACTAATTATAACATGGTTTTAATGTAATATTAAAATTTAGAATAATGAATTAATTATTTTTTTGGCTAATTTCATTTGATTCTGTGATTTCTTAAAATTTATGATACTTAAAACCTGAACAGGAAAGAAAAACCTTTACGAATCTACGTATTAGATTGAAATAGTTTAGAAGGAATAAAAATGTATGCTAAAAATCACTTGAGGAAAAAAATGAAATTGGTGGAATTTAGGTTTCATTGCAATATATTAATGTCTTAGTTTTTTTAATTAATATTTTTAATTTATGAAAATCTTCTTTATAATATTTTCTTTTGTAACTTCAAAATCAAAAATTTTTCCACAATTATACTAGAAAGAGATGCTCAAAATTCAGATAAATTAAAAATCAGTAGATCTTGAAATTAAAATTGCAAGATATGATCAAAAATCAGAAAACTTGGCAGCTATGAAATACTCTCAGTTTTGTTATACTTATCAAGTTCACTTTTATACACTAATACCATAAAAGGATCATTAGCATCCATTAAGACCCATTACTAAATAAAGGTTCACTAACAGCCATTAAAATCCATAAAGAAGTCCTAAAGTGGCCCTACCCACTGGTCACAGGCATAAACTTTCAATTGCAAAACTGTTTTAAACAAGAAAAATATTCATAAATTTAAAACTTTCAAATCAAAAAACAAAGATTTCAAAGATTCATGACGTTTTTTATATGACCATCTGGTCTCTCTCTACAGTTATATTTAATAAAAGTTTGCATTCATCCGAAAATCAAACACAATAAAAGATGACTATTATATCACAAAAACTGATTGAGACATGTAATTTTAAAATTTGGGATTATGTTCAGGGGTCATACATAAACGGAACAGCAAAATATTCAAAGTTCTACTTAAATAAATAAAATATTTTAAGTAAAAATGAAGTATCAGTTTCTTGAATGTTAAGAGATTAAGGGACGGACACTGCTATACAAATTATCATAGAAGATACTGAGCAATACAAATTTTTTCGAAAGATATCTTTATTCAGAGAATCTAATAGAATTCACATTTTAGAAAATGGTGGCATAACAAATAGCCTACTCAAAACATTGTTGGCATATATAAAAATGAAAAATATTCCTTAATTCAATGAAATCTTTAATAGCCTACTCAAAACATTGTTGGCATACATAAAAATGAAAAATATTCCTTAATTCAATGAAATCTTTTGCATGTCTATTAGATTACGATTCTAAAGTAATAAAACTGTACATGAATATTAACATATTTTTGGCATTTCAAAACATATAAATTACCTTTATAAAAAACCTTTCAGTATAGCATATGGACAGGGAAAAAGAAAAATTAAAGACTATTACACACTAATATATCACAAATGAATAAAATTGTATGACACTAAAAATATTAAAAAAAAATTTTATTTATTTTTTAATCCACTACTCAGGGAATTCCAAAAATCTCATATTGTGAAATTATGTAACTCGCTAAAGTTTTTCGCACGAGAGTCAAATTTTTTGCTTAATTTTACAAAAATATAAACTTTTACTAACTGTAATTATTGAATCAAAGAGACAACATAAAAAGTTAAGATTCCTTCATGTTTACAAAGTTCATTGTTTAAATTGAAAAATATCGAACATGATTATCTGCACCTTTAAAACATTTTTGTAAATGAGATAATATGTTTATGGCTAACAGTTGCAAAATAAATGTCATATAAGAATTTTTGGTATATGAAAAAGAAGAGATTAATTGCTGATAAATAGTCTCTTAGGTGAGATTTCAGTCTCCCAGTAACTGCACTTCTAAATTGCTGGTGCAGTACTTGCGTATATAGCTTCATCAGTGGTCGAGTGATGCAACCACTAGTAGTTTGACTTGGATTCGAATCCAGGTGAATAGGCTGGCTGCATGGATGGTTTTTCACATGTGTAACTTGAATATGAGCCAATTTTCCAGACAAAAATTCTCCACAAAGCATCCCTCCCCTTAGTGCTGTAGTTCTCTCGAGTTTTGGCATCATTGTTTCAAAAAAGATACAATCTTTATATATAAAGTGCTTTGTTGTTTTTAATCAATAAAAAATTTTTACCTAAATATGCAGGTGTCCCTACAACTGAGCGCCTGAAAGATTTTTCACCAATGATTCGAGCAAATCCAAAATCACAGAGTTTAACCTAAAAATGATAGTTAAAAAGTTCAATTTATAATAACTTCATAATATATTTTACATAATTCTTTACACCAATTATATTTATTAAATTTTCCCCCTATTTCTATATATTACAGCAATAAAAACTTCCAAATGTATTTTTATGATTTTTTTGGGGGGGGCACAAAAATGCAAAGTCTCATTAGTTACTATAATAATATGCAAAACAAGCACAAGTACATATACTTAACTGGAAATGTACAATAATAATATCAATTCCATTCAAAAACAATAGTAAAAGTTCTACTTTACTTGCTTGAAATTATGAATAACAAATAACAATGTTTAAAATATTGTAATACTTTTTATCAGTAAAACAATGTAAAATGTAAAATATAAAATTTATTCTATTTTTACTTCTTGGCCTCCATGCTCTGTTAATTGCCTTTAATTTAAATACCTTGAAAATTATTTCACTCAGCAATGCAAAAATATCAGAAGAGTATCAATTACATCCAGCACTTGAGAAGGCAGTTTTTTCATAGAAAACCAGGCACACTTCTTTATTGTGGCTTTCTTGATCTCCATTTCATAGGAAGCAATTATGGTGGCCCTGGTAGCGACCGACATTCAACCGAGTTCAAGAAACCTCGGTAGAGTATCAGTCGCTTCCAGGGCTAAAAAAAAATCTTTTTCATGCAAAAGCAGGTATTCCTTTACACAGCCACTTGTGCAAATGACCTCTGCTGGACAGGAAGCATGATGACACGAAACCTATATGATGCTACAACTCATTTCTTCTACATCTTGATCAACTTTCTTTCTACATTAATGTTAACAACTGGAGCTTTACTGACACTAGCAGGAAAATTACACATAGCGTTTTCAACTTATTGATGCTGATTTCATTGAGATTAAACATGTTTAATTAACAGCGTTAAATTAATCAAATGTTATTGCAACAAAGTGATTAAACAGATTATTAAACATCATCATAGAACAACAAAAAAATTCTGTTGAGCTTAAAGATAGAAAACAATTTAATCAAGAAAAATTTATTAAAAGATTTATAATTTATTAAATGAACAAAGTTAATAAAAATTAAAACCATAAAGTAAATCTGAATCAGAAAAAAAAATGAAGCAAATTAGTTACATTAATTCTTTTCATTGATAATATTTAATCACAATTCAATAGAAATTAACATATCAGGACTTGCTCACTCAAACGAACCATACGTTTGTTACTTATTTATTGTAATATAAAATTCTACAGCAGCAAAAAATATTATCAAAAATAATAACAAACCTGAGGAAAATCAGAGTCGGACGATAAAAGAACATTTTCTGGTTTCAAATCACAATGTACAATACATTTCAAATGCAGATGCTTTAAAGCCATCAAAATCTATAAGTATATTATACGAATATATATAATTCCATTCAGAATATTAAAACATTAAAAAAAATTTCTGATGAAACATTACTATAAATATGAGATACCTGATAAATCAAAAACTTTGTAATTCTTTCTGACAGCCTTCCTTTTTCACTAGAAAGAATCATTTCTAGCATGTCGCCTTTCAGCTTCTCCATAACAACAAATATCTAATCGTATTAAAAATGCAAACTTTTAGTTTTATAAAAATAGGCTGTAATAAACATCATTTTGTTATTTAGCTGAATTCACTGTTTATTAATCACATTTTTTTTCTTAACTATTTTTATATATTATAAATGCTGGAGTAAGTTTTAAAAAAGGTAGTTAGAATAATGCATCAAAACATACGATCTATCCAAAAATTCTGTTTGGAAAGTGAAAGAAAAATAATTCATTTTTTAGACCTTTTATAATATTTATTGTAGAATATAATTTCCATCATTACTTATGACCAATCTGATAGTAATTTGAAAATACAGCTTTTACAATTTTTTGTCTTTAGAGGCAAAGAACTCATATAGTGCTTGGTTGACATCTGCTTCAGTTTTGAATTTTTCCCACTTAAAAAAATTTTACAAGAAGCAAAAAGAAGGGATAATCAGAGGATACTTATCTAGGAAGTATGGTGGATGCAGCTCTACGATTTTCTGATCAGCCACCATAGCAGCATGTGGTCTGGCACTTTCCTGATGCAGTATGATGTGCTTATTGAAAATTGCTCGCTTGTTTTCTTTGACTGATTTGATTAAATCATTATGCCACTAACAGCATCTTTCTAAACTAAGCTTTTCATTACGTTTCAAAAACTTGTGGTGCAGGCAGGTTGTCCGCGCTTAAAGTATGCTCTTTGCATATGGATGTTTTTGTAGGCAATCCATTTTTCATCACCAGTAAACATCCAGTTCAAGAAGGGTTTGTTTTTGTTTCGAGCAAGCACAAACATGCATATGAGGACTCAATCATGCAAATTTTCCTCACTTAACTCATGAGGCAGCCATCTGGAATACATGTAGACAAATCTTAATTTCCAAATAACATCCAAATTGGTTTGTCCAGCTGAGTTAAACTTTTTCACAATCTCTGACGCTATCAAAAAAAAGGATCTTCCTCTAACATGGTCTTGACATTATTGTCATCAATCAAAGATGGCAGCCCACAAGCTGGCTTATCATTAAGCTTGAGATCACCTGCTTCAAATTTTTCTAATTATTTTATACATGTTTTATACAAAACTGTATCATCACCAAAAACTTTAATTAAATTCTAGCATGCTTCTGCAGCATTTCTTTTTTGTTGTAATTTGTTTAAAATACAGCTTCGTAAATTAATTTTACCAGTAGCTATGTTTATATGATCGCGTCTCACTTAATAATGACATAAGTGATTTAATGCAAAATGCTGTTTTGAGACTAATAGCCCTTCTGGGCTAAGTAATTCTTTCTTCCAAAATATGCCTCATAGCTGTCAGTCATACATTGGTAATGTTAGCTGGTTCATTTGCACCCACTTGCCATGTGTAAATAGAATGAGAGCTCAGCTCACTGAAGACCATCAAAGGGTTAAACAAAATTTTTATTATAAGAAGAAAAAACTTTGAATAGGACTCGAAAGATTTTTAAATTCTTCTAAAATGACATTTGATAACAGCATATTTCCAAGCTATCTTATGTCAAAGTTTAAAAACAAGAAAATGAAGAAATCAGTTCATCAAACATTCCTGAAATGTTTTTCTGTGGAAATAAATAATTAATGCAGAATTTTTATTACATATTTCAAATGCTGTCATTACTAATGTAGTATCAAATAACATTTAAATTCCAAAAACGTTTAATGAAAACAATAAATTATAATTGCAGCAATATTCTTTTTAACTGAAATAATAGAGAAAAAATAATTAATTCATTAAGTCTTCTTAGTTATGATAACATATTTTTTAGAACATCTTCTGATGTTCCAAATTAAAGGATGCTTAGAGAATGATATTTAATACACAATTATTAATCAAACTTTCTACGAAATACGGTAAATGCTCGTGACAAAGTTTATTAACAAGCTGAGCTTCATTTCAACACTGTTGTTATCTTTGCTTTGATTAATGCCATACATACCTACCCAAACAAAAAGGAATTTAAAAAAACTAGTAACTGCAACTTAATGGTTAGTGGAGAGAAAGGCCACCATACTGAATCAGATAATCATCACAAGTCTTAACCACCAGTCACAGCCACAACATTTCTAATTTGGGTTGATAGCTTTATCGTGACTTGTTGAGGGTAAGAACAAGGTGTTTTGTTTGAGATTTATTTCTTTCTGGTAACTGCAATACTTTAAGGCAGGTTGCCTAGTTCTTAGTATTGTGAAGAAATTAACCTTTTTTAATTGTACATTTTACCTCCAGTTATAACCACCAGGAATGGGCAAAGTTCTCGCAAACAAAGTTCAGACAAATCAATCTATCTTATGTATATGGATTGTAGTCAAAGCAATTGTTTGTCAACAGTATGTAGCTCTGTATAATCTGAAGAGATGCTCAGTACAAATTACAGAATTACTCATACTACAGAAAATAAAAACATTTTATTAGCCCTCATTAATGCAGAGAATATGGAAATAACAAGAATGTGAATAAATGCATTATGAACAAATATTCAGATTCCCACATAAAATTTACCTATTGTTTATGTACTACCTATTTATTGTTTATGTATTACAATAAGTGATGCTTAATGTGATCCCATTTGCCCATAGCTATTTTAATAACATTAAACGATGAGAGAAAAATATTCTTCAAAACAGTAATGAAATTTAACTAATAAATACAAGAAACATATAAATAAGTACTTTTACAAAACTTTAATTAGAAAAACGAAATATTTAAGAATTGTTTATAATGTCTCAATTGCACTAGTTCATTAATGAACTGTTCACAACACTTCTGGGTATTATTTATTTGATGATATATCTCCGAATCCTAATACTCGGAGGGCATGCCTCATTCACTGGAAGAAAACGTACAAATTTAAAATTAGACAAAAAAAGCAACCTTAGTTTGACACAGATGATTTCAGGAGATTTGACTTTTAAGCAACAGGTGATAAAAATTCTGCAGATCCCCCCCCCTCTTGAAAAAGAGCAAAAAAAGTGTCTGATCAACAAGTAGTTGACTAAAATAAAAAAATAAAATAAAATAAAAAAACAGTCTCTTCAGCAACATAATCCTTTAACTGGCAACATTTTTCACACACTCAAAATTTTTATATTTCATTCTGACCTTATATGGTGACTTTATCCCAGTTAAAATAAATAAATAATGCTTTGATAATCTTAACCAAATTTTTTATCACAACAAGAGGTTCCCCCCCCCAACACACACACATTTGTATATAAATGTGTGGGACTTCAATAATTCAATAACAATATCTGAATGATAACATTTACCATGAACACATTTATTTATTGTAGCATGTATATTCAGAGTTAACCATTAGCAATGCAGGTAGAATGGAAGATGATATCTTCAAAGAATTATTTTACAAAAATATCATTTGAAGTAGACAAGGGTAATTTTTTAACAGTGGGAATGTTAAATGCTGAGAAAGTTGATTTCATTAGACTGATGTCAGTCTGTATAGCCAGAAATAAGTTATAATACGCTTTGAAAGATTTACAGAAAAATAACCTATATGCAACACATCAGCAAGTTGTCTCTCATTTCTCTTTCCAGCAATGAAGCTATATCTACTGTATCGCCAATACAACTCACATGATCAGGTATTCTTTTCTGATAAATTAAGGTTCACTTTAAATCAATCCAAAGAAAACTTGCTATTATAAAATTTAAAATTAAGCAAAAAGGGGAAACTTCATTTGGCATAGAAGTTCTCAGGGCAAAAAATCTGCAGACTTAGTTTGCTCCTCTCAAAATCAATAACTTGAAAATCTACATCAAATTAAGTTCTCCTCCCAATTTTAAATGATTGACTAAAATCCTTGGCAGCTTAACTCTTAATTGGCAACATATCTCTGCAATTTGGTAATTTTTAAACTGGCAACTTTACTTCAGCTTAAAAGATTTATTCTATAATATTTTGATCATAACAATCAAATAGTTGACCACAATATGCTATGTATCTTCCATATGCAAAAAGGCAGGAATATCTGAATGATTATAACCAAGATCACATTAGACAGCATCTACTGTATTAAAACAAAGCTATTGTAAACCACCTGAAGCACACAGATTAGATGCTATATTCCTGCTAATTTTTTAAAAAAAAATTCAAATAGTCATTAATGGTTAAACATCAGAAACTATAGCTAGAAATATTTCGATGAAGAAATACAATAACTATGAAGACTAGTTTTTCAATCTAACAATTTAAATTTTAAAAAAAAAAAAAATTCTATTTTGCATTGCCCTTTCAGTTGTAACACTTCTCTAAATCAGAAACTTTCAGCAAGAATTCTATACTACTAACAGTGAGTATTTGCCTTGCTTCATACTACTAACCTGTTTGGGAAATATATTTCCAGTTTTTAATGTTTTTATCTCAATTTTGCACATAAAATTCAGGTTATTTACATATTCTAGATATCAACAGTGTTGGAAAAAGAAAATTATATATACCCTTTCATTAGTTTCAAACATTTTTTCTAAATTAACCACCCCTGGGTGATGGATATTTTGTAGAATAGAAACTTCATTTTTCAACTGAGCTTCTTGTTTGGTGGGAAATCTCATCTTGTCAATTACTTTTATTGCAACAGCTCGTCCGGAAGTCCTATGCACACCTATACAAAATGTTTTAATAGCCACTTTTAATAAAGCAAATATTATTACTTAAGCTGAAAAGCAGACATACACAGTATTAATTGATAAATAAATACTCATTCACAACTGAAAAGCAAAAAAAGCTACATGGCTAACAGAAAACTAAATTTTCAGAGCCATAAGAGAGAAATTACGAGAATCACATTTAAATAGCATGACAACCTCCTAATTATCCAACCTCCAATAATTCGAGATTTATATATAATGGGAAAACTCACTGCAAGCATATGAAGTTCAAAATGAGAATAATTTTTCTTTTAATATTATATTTCTACTCAAATATACTGTTGAACATATTTTTTATATGCTCCAATTCTAATTTATATAACTAATCTTTTATTTTGTTTTCAACCACTGTCACTTTCAAAGCTCATGATCACTGAAACTCTCACAATATTATGTTGCTTTAACAGATATATTTCGCACTGCTATTTATATGCCACACAAGTATAGAGATTAATGAAAGCCTGTTAATCAACATTTAGTTCAAGAAGCTTTTTAAACTGAAAACTATGTCAAATAGATATTTTTAATTGCTTAGGTTCTGCATGCTTTATGTTTTGATATGAAAACCTCTGATACTGTTTAATGTCTAAATAAATAAAATTCAAATGATTTTAAAAATATCAACATAAGAACACATTAAATATACCATATTGTAAATTATAAATATTGACCATAATTCAATTTACCTTACATTTACACCCTATTAATATTTATTACTATATGCTGATGATTCTGCAGAATGCTAATATTTTGCAGATAAATATGCATACTATAGTGAGTTACTTTAAAATAAGCACTTCAAAGCCATTGCCCTCACCCCATTCACGACTGAACTCATGTCATCATTGTTGTATAGCATTCATTTCCTTCACCTCATTTGAAACTGCAGTTCAAGTCTGCCTTCATGGCCCACCAGCAGCCGAGTGGTAAAAGCCACTGAACACTGGTAGTTTGGTCCGGGGTTTGAGTCCTGGCAAATGGGCTGGCTGTATGGGCATTTTTGTGGTTTTCCCCATGTGTAATGTGGATACGAGCCAGATTCCCTTCCAAAAACTTCCACAGGGCATCCCTCCCTTTCCATGTAGAACCCAAGGGAGGAGTATATAATAAGAAAAAACATCTGCCTTCATTTGTGTGCTTTTCATTGCTAAACAAAAGCAAAGTGGGAGGAGAAAAATATGCAAATCAACCTTTTTCTATTTGTTTCCATGGCTACGAGTCATACTGAGCGGTAAAAAATAACCTCTAAATTCTTATTTTAAAGAAACAGATAACCAAAATTGCATTTGTTTATATAAAAACTAATTTCTCAAAAGCCATTAAATAAAACTGAATGAACTTATTTGGAGTGATACATAGCATCATAATACAAAAATACAATATGAATGCAAAACTTTTATGAAACAAAACTAAAATAATGCATGATTATGAAATTTCTAGAGAAAGTTGAGCACTTTAGAAACAAATGTTGATTTTTCACATTGAAATGGAATGTAAGAGTTTTTCTAACTAATTTTTCAATCTTGTATAGATGTTTTATAGTGTGATTTCATGTTCTTCAAAAAGAGTGTTAATTAAAGTGCAGGAAATTAAATGTCACTTGTCCATCAATGTGATTTTCAAGATAATAATACCTCCATGGAAAAGAATTTATTCCCACAATAACTTTTTTAAGCGAGGCCATCTTAACAAAGACATAGGTCCCCAAGTTTTTGAAGCCCTCATCTACCTCTCAAAAATAAATTTATCATACAAAATAAGGGCACATTTGGTGTTATGTTTGTTAGATGAATTTTTCTTTTTCAACTGAAAGTCAGATATCCATGTAACCTTTAAAAAGTTTTACACAAGGTTTAATACTTCCCATTCATATTACTGGATAAATATAGGTATTCTTCCTTCTTCCAAATATGTACCAGCAAGTCCTTTTATTGACCAATTTATCTTACTATACCAACACATTTGTACTGCCATAATAGGCATAATTAATTCCCTAATGTTGTGTTGCCAGCTTTCTACTAATGCAAAATTCTAACCGGCTAATTCAGAATCAGATGTTACATTGAACTTTAACTTATCACAGAAAAGAACACAAGAGAGAGTTGCAAACTACGACTCTGATATTCTCTGCACAATCTGAAACATTCATCTTTTACTGTAAAATAAAACTATTGACTTTCTAATTTCATCACTTAACTCTTTTGGATATAATTTGTCTAATACTAAAGCTCCAGGGGTAACTGCAAACTCTAAACATTATTATTCATTAATCAAGTTCCTACTGCAATCGACAAACAGAATGCCTCCTCTTACCCCTTAATGATCCTGCATAAGCTTTGTAGTTTCAGAATCTAAATTTTTAAACTGTTTTCAGATGGTAAAGACTATCAGTAATGAAATGTTACTTCAACTTGCTACATTTATAATTGTCTACCCTGTTATTGAAAAACCAGCAACTTCCCATTTCTAAGACACTCCAAATGATAACTTTTAAGTGTTTAGACAAATTATTTTAACTCAAAAACAAAACAAAAAAAATCTTCCATTAAAACTCTATACTGGAAAAGGTTTTATAAAAATGCATTGAGCAAAAAGTCTTCCATACAATTAGATGGCATACCATTTGCAATTGCACACAGACAGACTTTTCAAACTGGACTGGATTATGGTAATTAGGTTTGCCTTTTCCTCATTCCATGAAACAAATCAAATTACTTCATGACATATTATTTTCATTGTTCGTAAAGGTAATTTATAAGGATTGGAGTTTCAATTACTGCTGTTTATATCAATAACAAAACACATTTAAAATAAAGCATTTTACTGATAAATATTTCTGCTACTTTACTTACCACCATAAACAATACCAAACTGGCCAGAGCCCAGTACTTCATCAGGAAATATTTGATACTGCAAACTAATATCCTACAGTAAAAATTAAAGTTTTAACAGAAGAGAATACATATTATTAAAAATTGTATAGTAATACAACTTTCATCAAATTTTAAATAACAGAAATACTTACCAAACTTTGTTCTGAGTTTTCTTTTCTTGCAGGAACTTCACTATATGGCTCTAAATAAGGGGAGAAAATGCAGCTGAAAGTTTAATAAATAATGAAATAATTCACTCTGAATTCTACTTCATAATCAATATTAATTAATTCTGAGATAATCAGCTATGTCCATTCATTTCCTTTTTCTTAAATTGTTAAATACGGCACACAAATACAGAACTTTCATCCTAAGCCATTATTCAGTCACACTGTTAATTCGTATTCACAGCTGCTAACCTTAAAATCTGAAAAACCAGGTGATTTTCTGTTCGAAAAGCAGGAGAAACTGAATTTGAGTCTAGTGACTTTTCCAAGTGAATCTAGACCAATAATTTTATTTTCCAGTATGCACCTTTTGACAGATTTCCAAATGTGGCATGGAAACAAGTCATGCGGAAATATCCCCCCGCAAAGGTTTTCAAGAATAACACAATCCTACTTTTAAATATTTCTATACGCTTCAATAAAATCATCGTTCTGTCAATATGAGAACTAGATTTCCAGTGCCATCTGCAGTGAAAAACCCAAAACACTTGTTTCTGAAGGCATTTTATGGTTTATTGGATATTGTTATGTTATGTTCTTCCTTTACGTCACTTTACATACAGGGTTCATGCAGACTTGGAGTGAATAATGACAACAGCAGTTGATGAAGTATCAAAACATACTTTATTGGCCAGTATTATTCAAAACAGCTCCTATAACACGTTTACTCAGTCGTTGAAGAACTACAATAAACACACTGACACGATCAGCGACGCATCTTCAAGGAATCAGGCTATAACGGCGAACACAGCTTCACTGCAAAGCACCAGAGTACAGCTCCCAACTCTGCTTGGTTGTTCTCGAAACTTCACATACTCTCGAGACTCACCACGCTACAGCTCGCGATGCACTTGACGATACACTTGAGTACAGCTCCCGACTCCTTGATTCAGTTGTTCCCGGAGCTCAACACTCTCTCGACGATGCACTCAGACACTCTTTCAGTGCACTCAACGACCACTCGGCACTCACTGACCGACTGTCAACTCGATCGACTCTGCACAGACTAACTAACTTGAACTGACTCTCCGAGTACCAGCAGGGTTTATATAGTTTTTGGCTTGTGTTCGAGAGCATTCTGGGCTAAACTGGTAAGAATTTGTTCCAGAAGGTTCTTCATCCGTCCACGGCATATCGCCAATTTTGTCGCCAAGTGGGCAATTTCTCGCCAAATCTGGCAAGCCTAAAACTGCCTTGTAGGGAAACTACTCCACTGCACCTTGGCATTTCATAACAATATGTTGAAATCTTATTGATTCACCCTTGCTCCGTTCAATATTAGATGTGTAACCACAAACAAATAAATGAGATTTACAGTTGAAAATGGCCTTTTTCCAGTCATTTATGGTTTAATATTTGCATCTTGTGATTCATTTGACATATCAAAAGTTCATTTTTAATTGATTTCTTACCATCTGACCACAAGTGAGAAGTCTGTGCCTCATATCTTGAGGATGAATATCAATAAAATTTGGAGAATGAACATCATTACAAATAGATAGATCAATACAATGAAATAGATAAATAAAATAGATTTCTCTTAAAGTCGTTGCAAGTTCTTGTTGGATTAATAATGCTATTTTGGAGTAGGAATCAAACAGATTTTGGAGGTTTTCCCCTTTTCTTTCCACGTTTGCTCTTCTTTCCTGAAGAAAATTATCCTGTTTCATTGTGTCTCCTCAGAATTAAAAAACACAAGTTGTTCCAACATGAACCGAAGAAGCAATATTTCTTACAGTCATGGATATGACAGTTAAGTGGGATAATCTTTGCTTTCTTTGCATTATATCCATTTTTACTACATTAAAAATAAAAAACACAAATTGCACTTAATAAGTATGCAAATGTAACTCACAGACACAGGTTTAAAAATGATGTAATAATCTCAATTTATTGTCCAAAGCTGTTCTAAGAAGTTGAAGCAGACATTTAAATGACTTATAAACTGCTTTGAGGGACCTGCTGATGCCAGCTGGCGACCAACTTAAATTCTATGAAAAAATCATTTTGTTCCAATTATATATTGCATATTATAGTAAAATTAATAATGTACACAGTATTTGTGTGGATAAACTTGTTATTTGTGTAAATAAAATGTACTATAGATTGAAGTAAAATAAAATTAAGGGGTGTTGGAACCCCAAAATCTTAAAAAAATTATGATTTCGGATTTTTGCATTTTCAAATTCTCTACACTTTTATCTTTCTAAAAATACCATTCTTTAATCTCTATGAAAATTAGAACTGTAAAAAAAATCTAGTTTTAATTTGTCATCTACTGCTTTGATCAATGAGGATTTTTACATAAAAACGCGTTTTTCTCCAAACGTGATTTTTTTATACTCGATGTACCTTTTCTCAGGAACTACTGCTCACAGGTATCTAAACTTTTTATGGCTTATTTATTAGGTTCCCTAATATTTACTGAAATGAGCTTTTTGTAACAAACTCAGAAATAAATTTTTTAAAAATTTTTTTGTGTGAGAAAAAGTGCTAAATTTTACTATACCTAACAAAATATTCTGTAATTTATTCTAAAATTCAAAATGTTTCAAAAGCTCATTTCAGTATAATCAGATAGGTATACTTTAATTACAGAAAAAATTTCAAGCAGAAAAATGTTAAAAAATTGGGATGTGAATCGGGAGTCTCCCTTTAAAACTGGAACAGTTGCCAACTATATGTACATTTTTTTAAATCATTTGAAATTGCAAAATAACTATGTAATAGTAGCAAATTTGCCCTTTTTATTATACATTAAACAATTAAATTTCAAAAGAAATAAATACCTTTACTTGCTTGAGTAGTCTGAGCAGCAGTTTTAGGAGTATCAACAGGCATCAAAGCTTGTCTTATTGCAGTTTCCCAAGCTTTCAGATTACTGATTTCTTCAGTTATATAAAAATCAACATTTGCTGTTCGTAATTCTAAATAATAACCTTGATTATGTTCTGAACATATATTCTGTTTTGAAATCTCAACAGACAGAATTTCTGATAAGGGTATTTCCTAATAAGAAAATATTATATAAATATATATATACACACACATTCAAAACCTACCTAAGATTTAAAAGAAATGCCAAACTATTGTTAATTATAAAGTTGAGAAATAAAGCAACATGTTACACTATACCATAACACCAATATGATTATGAAAACTTTGACATTTTCATTTGATCAATATACTCTAATTTCTAGTTATTTTCATAATTGACTTCCTGTTTATAATTTAGTTACTTTTCCCAGGATCTAAATTTATTTACTAAGCAATTTTAGAGAGATCCACACCACATTCTCTTACAGCCACATATGAGTTGCAATAAATTAATAAACAATCAGCTAATTCACATCCAAAATTGCAGAAGTCTGTTGTTTAGAATTGTACTTCTGGCATTATACTAAAGTTTTTATGCAATTCAGGAATATGACTAACCTGTTATGTTATTCTGCAACATCAACCCCCCCCCCCGATGAAATATTACAAGATATATGACCTTATAAATATTTTTATTATTATTCTTTCTTCTTATACTCCAATGAATCACATTTTTTTTTCCTTTTAATAATACAAAAAAATTGCAATCTTGTATTATCCACATATTTGATAACAATTCTAACAGCAAAGTGAAATGAACTTAAAAAAAAAAAAAATTATATATTAATATAATGTATTCTGTAAATGTTCAGCTATGATTGAAGTTATAAATATGCACATGTTCAGAATTTTTAAAAATGAACAAATTTAACTTAATGTCATTTCATATTTTATATTAGCTAGGTGCAAGCAATAAATTTATACATGATTTATGCTCTCCTAAGTACCGAGATGGCAGTAAAACAAATGTCAACATCTGAGTAAATCTAGCAGAACACAAAAAAATTACTCTTTAAATAGATTAAATTTGTCATATATTGTAAAAAAAATTGTTTTAACATAAAATGTTTTGAAATTTTGTCTTGAAGAATTTTGAATAGCATTAAAATATTTTTGGCTTTCTCCTGACAAATATTAAACCAACACCAAAATAGTATCTGTTTATGAATGCTTGGCATCATATTTCTGAAGGTCTTGCTACAGGCATGACTCTTTTTTTTTTTTTTTTTTTCCCAAAGCGCATATTGATTTATCTTAGATTTATAAGCTAGAAGTATTTTCTTCATAGTCATCCTCCTTCACACTCAGAAATTTGCTCTTTTTATATCTTTATGCAGAAATTGATCCCTTTTTTGGTCCTATGTCCCAGATCAACATTTTCCTTTTTTTAAAGGGAAGCACAATATGTTTTTATAGCTGATGGTTTTTATAGCATCTTTAATATAGCATGGCAATTTGAAAATAATGATCTATATTTGATAATTTGAGTTGTTACACTATAGGGAAAGATAACACAGGAAATGAACTAATTTATTGTGCATTATATTTATAATACATATATTACTTTATACTATTATTTATAATTTTGCATGAATAAAAACACACTTTTTACTTTCAACATGAGCTTTGTTCCTAAGTATCCATGAAATCATTTTGCACATACTAATGAAAAAAATGCTATATTAAGTGAAATAACAAATACTTAAAAATTACAAATATAACTTAAGAAGTATAATACACTGCTAGAAGTATAATTTATAGTTTTAGAAGTATAATTCACTGTTTACTAATTTACGTATCTCCTACTAATGTATACCCTCTTTTCAATGAACATTCAATAACTGTGTTAATATAAATAGGGCACAATCTTCACAATTTCTTTGATGCATTTTAGGCATTTATCAAACTTTCTGAAGTATTCATACCACTTAAGAAAACATAACATGTAGTCCAGCATACCATTATCGAGCAAAAGATTATGCACTGAATTAAATGCACATTTAAATTTTGCCGATCAGAGGGACAGACTCATAATACCAAATCAAAAGAAATAATTTTCTATTTAATCTAACGACTGCGGATGTCTACAAATACTAAACCCCTGATATGGCCAGGTACACAAAATGGCATCTAACACCTATTATCTACATATTTATTTGGCATCAATCATTGCTAGCTGAAAATAGCTCACATTATAACAAAGTCTGCCGCTCTTTTTTTAGTATATGAGATCCATTGCCTCATACAGTTTTCCTCACATAATCATCCACCATTCTGAATAATCCTTTTTTTTTTTTTTTCCCATTAAATTAAACAAAGGATTTACCTTTAAATGCTCTGCAAAGTCATTTGCTCTAATATGTACAGCACACTTCTGTAGCACATTCTGCTTTAGGAGGTTATTTCAATGCCAGCACTGAATTTCACAAACTAGTAAGCTTTCATAATGTTGGTAACCAGATGATACTATTCATGACCATTCTCTCTCTCTCTCTCTCTTTTTTTTTTTTTTTTTTTTTCCTTACTGTTTACACATTGCATAATGGGTAGTTACAATATACTTTTAAAGTATTAAGAATAAAAGAATTCTTTTTCAAAGATGAAATAACCCACTTCCCTAACAACTAATGTCCAGCCTCATTTTAAATAGCTTACATCATTATGCAACACTTATAACATTTTTTTAACAAGAAGAGACTGCAAAGTTACAGGTTTATTATACATTCCTCAAGTGTAAAAAATACCATTTACAGCAGATACTAAGAAATATACTGAAAACAGAAGTGTCTGTCAGTTTTCTGGAACATGAGGGATTTTAGATAGCATTAAAAATATTCTTTATATTTACCTTATAATATTTTGAAGTTGTATCGTTCTGAAATAAAGTAACACTCTTCGTATCCAATCTCCAAAAATGCCTTTTTCCCTGTTATATATATATATATATATATAAATTTTAAAAATTTACAGATGTTATTCAGAAATATTTATGAATAAACATTTAGTTCATAATTTTTTTACATACATATGATAAAGCAGCATTATAAAGTGTAACTAAAAAAATTACTAAAATTTACCATTCCTTCTTTGTTCGTATGATGCACCAACCATCCCTCCTTAAGAACCTTATAATTTTTCCCCTTAGTGTGTTTCACACTTTGAACTATCCTTTGCAAAGGAATATTGTTACTTGAGGCTTCACTAAATAAAAGAAATCAATATTTTAATTGATGTTTAACCAAAAAATAGATATGAAAATTAAGTTTAACATTCAAAATCATGAAACATTTGAGAATTTTTGAAACAGAGCTTTTCTTTTCACTGTAAAGGCAACTGAAGTATTTCTAACTTATAAAATTTAAAATACTATCTGCTTACTTAATCATATATCATTAAAAAGACAAAACATAAATGAACAATCATTATGCTTTCAAAAGCTTGAAGCAATTTATAGCTGAGTATTTACAGGCAAAAGTTTAATATACTAATTTCTATAAAAAAAAAAAAAAAAAAGAGTCTGATGACTTACTGGACAGGAATTTTTGATTCATCATCTTGCATATCTGATTTAAGAGATTTCTCAATTGATGTATCACTTTCTTCTCCAGATTCTTCATCTATATGTTCTCCTCTTTCATTTTCATTGTCAGTTACTGTATTTTTTGAATTTTCAGAATCTAAAATATAGTTTTAATGCAAAGTTTAACACAATTAAACAGATTATAATATAAGTTTGATAAATTACACTATACTGTCTGATACTAATTTTTTTTTTCCTGAATTGAAAAAAAAAAAAAAAAAAAATTTTTAAATAAATTAACATGCAACAAAAGCTATTTAACACAATCATTGAACTGAAAAAAAAAAAAAAAAAAAAAAAAAAACAGACAAAAATAATCGACACTGATTATCTGCAACCAATTTTGATATTCAGAAGAACTGCCACATTTTTGGAACACATTTTTGTATATACACAATCACAGACTATCACACATGCATATACATGTGTTTGAGTATATGCAGACTTATAGTGGATGCCGCTAATGCACAGTAGTCATCTGCTGTATTCACTGGCTGTAAAAATGTAAATTTTTGTTTTTCTAATTAAGTATTTTATTTCTTAGGAAATACATTTTTTTAATTATTTATAAATAGCAGGAGAATATTTGAAACCTATAAGCAGTAAAGATAGCTATACAAACTTTTTTTACTAATTCACAAAGTGACAGTGATTTGGGAGATTTTTCATAGAAAAGAGTGAATAATCAAAAAGTGCTTTTCACAACTTAGCCATTTAGAAATTAAAGTGCTATATTCTTATACATTCAAAAAATACATAGTCTAATTCTTAAAAGTTAACATGGCATCTTTATAATTATTTTGATGTTACTGACACCTGTCTAGAACTATTATAATCATCAAATCTTAAAAAGTGATACAAACTACAAAAACAGTTACTGAAGGGAAAATTTTCTGAAGAAAGGGGAAAAACTAAGTTTTCATTACTATGAGAAAAGACAAATCGTCAAAAACCTGTTTATTATAAAATTTAATTTTACAAAATTATGTGGTCCTTGTTGAAGCCAACCCAGTCAATCATATTCTGAAATTATAAAGCAGCATTACCAACGGACACAAGAAGCATTTCGAGAGGTTAAACAGAAAAATGCTGCATTACACTGGCCTTTAGCTTTTGGGATAAGCAAACATCTAGCAGCTTCTGTAGATGGTATCATCAAAGCTGGCATAAATACCTCTTTTTGCCTGCATTAGTATGAATACATAGTGCAGTAACAGTTATTACAATAACACTTATTGCAGTTCATAAACTAGTACGTACACTTATTGCATCTTGCATTAGAACAGTAGTGTCCGAATACCTTTAATACAAGCCACCTGTAAAAGATGCCTAGTATAATTGTAGAAGCTATAATTGTTAGCACATATATCATACAGAATCTTGAGCTGCCATGTCCTCAGAATAATCTGAGCTTAAAATGACCAAATCAGGTAGTCAGCTCATACAAGTAGGTAGGGGGTCAGCTCATACAAATCAGGTAGTCAGCTCAAATCAGGTAGGTCAGGACAAATTAGGTAGTCAGCTCATACAAGTAGAATTTGACTCCTTGCAATGATGTTTATGCATAACTGAGTTAACAGGCGAAGATTCAAAATTAATATTTTTCAATGTTTCAAGGATGTTAAAAAAATCAAAAGGTGTTAAGAAATGTGTAGTGAAAAATAGGATATCTTTTGAGGACTATAAAAACTGTTTGTTCTCGCAGCAAGTGCAGTACAGGACCACGAATCTCATCAGAAGCACGAAACATGAGATTCATTCAATAAAGGTCAATAAGATTGCCCTTTCAGCGACTGATGATAAACGTCATATATTGGAAGATGGTATTCATACTTTGGCTCTAGGACACTATATGATAAAAAAAAATGAGACTTGGTTTGATTTGAGAAACTAGGTTTGATTTTAATGGGGGGTTTTAGAGTCATTGCTTTTTAAAGGGGGGTCGGAAAATTATGGCGATTTTTCATACCATTGATTTCTAAAAGTGGGTTCGATTTTTATGGGGGTTTTATTCACCATTGTTTTTTAAAGGGGGGTGGGAAAATTATGGCAATTTTTCATACCATTGATTTCTAAAAGTGAGTTCGATTTTTATGGGTACTTCACAGTCATTATATTACCCCAAAAGTCACTGCACCAGCTCTCTCATTTACACACTACTAGCAAAAAATAAGCACTAAAAACAAAACAAAAAAATAAATAAATAAATGCTTTAGGGAAAAAGTAAGCACCTATAAGGGTTTTTATATTTTATTTTCAAATATAAGTACTTATAAGCACTTGTAAGGACTGCTATGAACCCTGATTAAACAAGTTTGATCATTTTCCATACTACAAAATTTTGAAATATTAGGTAAATTCTTAGTCCTCAAAAATTTTGTGATGGATATATTCTGTCTCTGAACTTACATTACAGTTACAACAGCAATTTCAGATTTTTGATGCAAGTGCAAAGATGTTTTTATATTTACATCTGAGAAGCTTCTGTCAGATCTTCAGATGGAAGTGATTGATGTGCAAAATGCTAAATTATGCTAAAAATGATGCTTAAATATATCTACCCCAATTATACAAATACCTTTTGGAAAATATGTATAGTTGATTAAAATCACATATATAGGGTTTATATCTGTATATGGAAGTACCAGTGAAAGGTCTTTTTCAAAAATGAAGTATGCAAAGTTACAATATAGATGACTAATTCCAAACAACATTAATGACAGTATTAATTTACATTAATGAAGTATTAATTTCTAATTTCAGCATGATGAAATGTCATCTCAAAAAAAAAAAAAAAAAAAAAAAAAAAAGAGAGAGAGAGAGAAAATACTCATTGTTTTAGTACAAGATTTAGTGTGCACTATAATAATTTATTAATAAATGGAATTATTTTATTCTGTTTTTTGTAACTGTCAGCAAAATGTGTATAAATATTACACAAAAATATCATTTCTTAAAAAAGTGTCTAAACACTTTTTGGGGGTTAAACACAGTCTATAATTTTTATAATGTGGCACTTTGCAAAACAAAGTTTGCCGACCTCTGATCTAATCAGAATCATTTCATGTGGTAGCACTTCACCAAAATTACAACAGATTTAATAGTATGATATTTCAGGTCAGCTTTTAAAGAAATTATCATTTTATTAGTGACTGATTTAATTTAATTATATGAAACTGGATCAGTCCCTGATGAAGACAGTTCAAGAATAAAAAAAATAAGAAAACTACCTACAAAAGCATACTATAAAATAATATTTCAGCTATTGAAAGGTAGGCTTTGTTACTTCAAAACTGAAACAGAATAGGTGTGTCACCATCCTACTTAAACTTAGAAACATTAGGATCTTGCAAGTAAGCATTTGAAGTATTAAAATACAGAAAATGGCATATTCCTTGACAGGCTTAATACTCGAGTTGAAACTTGGACATGATCCTACAAAAATAAAAATATTGAAATATTGAGAATAGTGGCACTCTCTTTTCTTTGCTGAAAAATCTGCACCAAGAATTCAGATATATTAATGCATTACATCCTTTTTTCAATAATTTATTTCACTTTATGGATAAATGAAAGATAATGTTTTATAAAAAGATGAAACACAACATAAAATACTTATGCATTCTTATGTAATATTATACTATTACACAGAACAATTTCTTAAACAACCAATATGTAAGCATATATTTATTCCTTTCAGTATTTTAGCTTTTACTTATTATAATTAAGATCAAAATGGCTTTTGGATTAAAGCTTACTTTCTTTGGGGGCTTCTCCAGTACAGTCCATGGGAATGCATTCCAAACATTTGCGTTTATGTACATTTAACTTGCAATCTTCAATTTTCCACATAAAAATACATAAATATATATAATTCAAATAAATTACAAAAGTAGAAAGTAGTAAACAAAAACTAGAGAGAACTAGATTGTTAAAAAATATTGAGCATTGAGCAGCAAATATTAAAATAGGTCGCAAAGAAGAGTACAGTCAAGCTGAGCTAAAGCTTTAAAGCACATTTGATATTGCAAATCCAAAGATTATTTTAAATATCAAGTAAAAACAATTATACTAAACAAAGCAGTTAAATTATATGAGAAACCATCTACTTGAATAACTACAAAATAAAATAGACAACAAAAACAAAACTGAAATTAAAAATTTTTTAAAAACCTAAATAACTGCATCATATTTGGTATGCTTACAACAAAGACATCTTAAAAACAAAGAAATTACAAAAAAAATTGTGAAAAAAGGTCAATTAGCTCAATTCGAGGTTTCAGACAGACTTCAAGGGGAAAAGTGCCATGAAATCTCCAATCTAGCTAATGACAAATGGCACGTTTCGTCGAACGAAACAATTGAGACTGAAAGTGGTAATTCATAATTAAAATTATTAAATTAATTTATCTATTCTAGCTAAGTCTCAATAGCTTCGCTCCTTTCTCCGACGTGCTGGGAAATTAGATTCAAAAAAGGACTACTTGAAATTAAATCAAGAAAAATTTCCCTACAAAAAAATTGCTTTAAAACCTATTTTAATGGCCTGTGCTGGCAAATGTACAACTAAAATAAACAGTATAATATCTGCAAATCATAAAAATATACATCATCTTGAGGGATGGCCCTATCAAATCAAAGAATAAAAACTTTGCAAAAATGAAAATAAATACTTTTTTAATATGTAAATAATTGAAATTGAAATGACACTAAAAGGGGTTTTGCTAAGATCAAAGGTAAAGAATTATTGCAGAAAAAGAAAAAGACTGACATACTGATGCGACTGCCTTCTAAGATAAAAGTGAGCAAAATTTGAAAAATGGTTGCATTCATTGTCAAATGGAGTGCTACTAGAATAGAAAAGCAGCCTAAAATTCCCCAAATGGGTGAGATGACGTAGTAGAAGAAACTAAATGTAATATTGCAGTAGCCAACGGTACTTATTTGTGGTGGGGAAAAAACTTAGGGGCAAAAAATGGGAAGGATAGATGAAGAAGGAGGCAATTCTTTCAAAATGGCACCTTGTTCAAGGCTAGTTGTTTCTAAAAGCAACTACTTAAACAAAATGATGAAATGCAAAGAATTTTCTAATCTGGCCAAAAGCAGGTGAAATGGAAAAAAATGCCAGCTTTTTTCCAGGAATTTTTAACCCTTTAATGGTTTGACTCGGATTATCTCGTTCTTTTATGCAGGTCTCTTAATGGTTCGTTACGGATTATTGTAAGTTTAAATGTACCCTCGAAAGCGGATCGTCCCGTGTTTTTGTATTAGCGAAAAAATGCGCCAAAAACGACTAGCCCGTATTTTTGTACGTCTTCCAACCCCCATTGCCTAAGGGGACAAGGGTCCACGCACCCCTGACGACAATGGGTAATAGCTGTCATTATCGCGGGGAGAAGTCTTCTTGATGTTTTGAGATAAAGGCCTTACACTGACTCTAAGGAAGCAAATTTATTACCAGTTACAAAGTGAATGTATATATAAAAGGAATTAAAAATTTTCGTTTTAGTACAATTATTGAATAAAATAAACAAGTTTTTACAAAATAAACTTTTATTTATGACTGATAAAATTATTAATGAATTGAAATGAGAAAAATAATGTATTATATAATTTACTGGGAACACGTGATTAAAAAATTCTCTTTAAAAAAATTTCGACAAATTTATATCATGAATAACAAACGTGCGGTTCTCTTGATAAATTTATAAATCTTATACTTTTGACAATGCGATTCGATATTTGATCTCGTTATTTAAGAATCTATTATTCTTCTTATAAAACTGTACAGGAATTTTTTAAAGGGGCTTTTATTCCTATTAATATGTACGACAAATTATTTTTCTCCTTTTGGTACAGTTTTTTACTTCCAAAATTCCTCTTACCTCATAAAAGTATAAAGTTTTAAAAATTCGCCCAAAATCAGAAATTATATTAATTTTATGCAAATTTTATTTCAAAAACTATTTTACGCTCTGTAAAGTGATGCAAACTTAAAATCTGTGAGATTTTTAGTTTATTCTTTAAATGGAAATATGCGCAAAAATTTTTTTCAACATTAAATTTTAAGACCTCTAAATCGAATTTTATAAAACTCGGTTTCCATCTGTAAACGGTGTGAGGTTATCGAGAAATAGTCTAAATATCGATGACGAGGTTCTGATTATAGAGGCAAACACCGTGATTGAAATGCATACAATTTTTTAAACAAACTTGCCGACTCTTAAATATTATTATTTTAAACATTTTGGAAAGTTCGGTAAAAATGTTGATATCAGATAACCGTCATTTTTATAACATTCTTGGTATTATAAAGCATGTATGTGACATTCATACGCGATTCCCGACAGTTTATGTTCATTTATCAAAGTGGCTGCTTTTGCGACAAGCACAATTATATAATGTGATGTTCTACATCCTCCACTGTCTATGATACTCATTATCGATATGTAATTATGTTCTATATCTATACAGAAATATTGGTAAGACCGAGAGAGGTCAAGCAAAATTTTCGCAAATATTTAATTATTTGAGTTACATAATTACTTATACTAGCTCAGGAAATTTTGAGTCATTTCAAAAAATAATCTTTTCTTTAAAATTCCTTTTTCGCCCCCCCCTTACGCTTAATGACTTTATTCTGATGAATGGAAGTTATGAAAACTAAAAGCTGAGTATAATTACAGATCTCACTAATAAATGCTTTACAAATACAACTCTTCATATTTCAGCAGAAGTTTTTGAAAACGCATTTATATAAGTTGTTGTAGAAATCGACAAAATTTTAATGCCAATTTAAAATTTTTTTTTTTTCTTTCCCTAATTTTCAGTTGCTTATGAGCGTATTAAAAAAAACTTTTCCGCTCAAAATTTTTAACTGTTTTAAAATATTCGTAATCGCACTCGATTTGATGTTTACAGTTTTTTCCCTGCGATTTCTCTAAAAAGAAAGAATTATAATTGTATTTAATAAAGAAAATTTAATGGATTTGGAATCTGCGCAAGAGGACTGAAACTATCATGGAGGAGAATTTCTAAGGGGAACTAGATCTCATCCACACTGAACGTAGAAAAACCCTGGAAAACTTTCATAGAACAAGCGCGTTCGTCAGGATTTGAACCCATGTCGAATTACCAGTATTCAGCGGTTTTAGCAATTGGCCACTGGAACCCCACAGCCCGATTTAAAAATCTTGTTTAGAAAGCTTTCATCTTGATTTAGAGTGATAGGTGCCGTAGTTTGAAAGTTAGGATTATTTGAATACAGCAAAACACACGAGGACTATCTGCTTTTAAGGAGAAAGATGCCTTCATAGAGGACTTTCTAACGAATAGCTCATACTCATTTTATACATAGAAAAATACCTTACAGCCATCACATTCGTTCGTCTGAGTTTGAATCCAAATCGAACAACTAATATTTAGTAGTCTTATCGGCCACTGATATGGCTGTAGTATAACCAGACTTGTTATTATGTACTATTAGATATGTATTACCAGACTGTATGGCATCTAAATTAAAAATTTTAAAAAATCTTCTGAGGTAATCTTCAACCCAAGTTAAGTTTTTTTTAATGCTAATGAGTAATATAATTATGAAAGAGTTCACGTCATTTGTGTCATTTTCATACAATCAGTTAAAATTAGTGTGGTTTCAATCAACGATTATTTAAACCTGCTACAAGAAAAAAATACATGAAAATTTTCCTTTAAAATATCAGGAATTATTGAAAAAAAACTTCTGTAATTCATAAACGAGGAAACATATTTAACCAGATTTTATATGTGTGAAAAAAATAATGAATTATGATCTCCTCTAGTGGAGATCTTTGTAATTATATTTCTAATTCCAACATCAAAGTGAGAAATCTAGTCGCTGAAGCAACACAACACTATTAATTTTTGTAGGCTTCTATTTTCATCAGCGACGGAATAGATCAGCTGCATGGAATTTTCATGATTTTTCTCTATACGTAAACCTAAATGCATGTAACCTTTCCTTAGAAAGTTTGCCGGAAGTGGAATATTTCTATCTTAGAAGATAGATATCGCGTGCTACCGAGTACAAAAATTGAACTGGTAGGTTATCGAGAAAGTTAGCAAATCTAAATACAGGGTCGACAGTAATATGTTTGGGGCCCTATTCTAAAAATTAAAAGTAGCGAAAAACACCCTACATCGCCCCCTTTTACTTACTTTTATCTAAGAATTATATATTGCATCCATAAAAAGTTCTCTAAATTAATGTTATTTGGATTTCCAAACCATTTTATGCTAAAATACATCTTCCCAGATGGTCGCTTTTACTCACTGGGAGTCGATGCTTCTTGAAGATGCCGATTCATGAGTGAAAAATTATTTTATTTCTTTTCCGGTTTCCCCTAATCGTTTACACAAAGGCTGAACTTTCGGAGAAAACAGCCTATCTATTGGTGTTAATTCGTCAGTAAAGAGATACAGCACTGAACGGAGGAAAGTACATTCTTTTTTTTTTTTTTTTTTTTAATTTGTAGAAATCTGGACTTTCCTTTTCCCTCAAAATTCAAGCAATACGAAATCTACTAGAAAAGATATACTCTCTAAGGTATAATGTTGAATGATCTAAAATTCACTTAGCTCAAAACAAGTTTTTCTAATACTTGCGCAAAGTAAGATAATAATAATTTATTTACTAAAGAAATATTGATTATATTATCTCTTAATATAAATTTACTAGAAGTATCAAAAAAGAGGGAACCCGTATGTAGGAAGTTTAATTCCGAAAATTGTGTTTCAAAGTAAGTAACTTGAATGTAAATTATGTAAAAAACGTTTTACGGGGTTGTTTCACCTATCAACATACTGTAATGGAA